TGCTGGGGAGAGGGGAGGAGCTCTCCTGGTACCAGCACTGTGAGGACAGGACCCTCCTTGAGACTTGAGGCGCCAGATAAGAAACTGTGCCAGCTTTAGAAGTCCCCAAGTTGGGGCAGAAGAGGAAGAAGGCCAAAGGACCCAGGCATGGCCCCAGAATCATCTCTTCATCCTCCTCCTGACAGCCAATCCCATTTGCCATCAGAGGACTTCGGGCAGAGGCATCTCCAGTGAGCTCCCAGGTGACCTTCATGCCAAGACTTGCTGGGACAGGCTCACCCTGAACATCTGCAGCACCATCGTCCCCACCCTTAGGCTGCAGATTCCTGGCCTCACCCTTAGGGAGAGCAGGCTTGACATCATCCTCACACCGGAACCAGGACAGGTCTAAGCCTGCTACAGGGGGAAAAAGGCACAGTCAACTAGAACCCTGCTGTCTTCCCGTTCCAACCAAGAGGATTTGCCAAGGCCTGGCAGAGGGGGCTGACCCCATGTGAACAGCTTATCCCCTCCCCAAGCCTCTTGAGGAAGCCTGGGAATCAGGAGACCTCGTTTGGGGTCCTGGCTGTGCCCCAAGTTCACTGTGCCTCTGTGCAAATCACTTTACCTGTCAGGGCCTGTGTGACCATCTGTAAAATAAAGGAACTGGACCTGGTCCATAGGCCCTCTCCAACGCTGAGACTGTGACCAGGAAGGAGTTAACAGAGGCCAGGCGCCGGGTCAGGAAGGCAAGGGTTAATCTGGGGGGGTGGAGGCTCTCTCTCCCTTTTCCTGTGGAGAGTGAGGTTTGGCTGCCACCAAAGTTACTTCTAGTCCCTGCTGTCCCTCCTGCCCTCAGTCTGGCCCTGCCCAGGGACCCCTGCATTTAGCCTCCCCACACAGAGGTGAGTACATCCTGAGTTCAGGGCTGGGGTGGGAGGGCACCCAGGGACCAAAGGCAGGGAGGCTGGCACCAAGCCAGTGAGCACAGTCCCCCAGCCTGTGTCCAGAGCGAAGCCTTGGGCAAGGTTTGGACCACTAACCCCAGGACTGGGAGAAAGTGGGCGAAGGGATAGAGGGCACGAGGATGTCTGCCAGGCACCTAGGACGGAACATCTGTGGCTGGGCATCAAGGCCAGCGCAGAAGGCAGGGAAGCGACAGTAGACAGCTGACTATTTTGGTTCCTATGTTTAGGGACTTTTTATAGCCTTGCGCTTGGGGCTGGGAAGAGGAGGAGGGGAGGAAGGGATGTGAGGGTACCCATGAGGTGAGACAAGCACAGTGCCCTCCTAGGACCTTGGAATCTGACCCATTGCCTGGTATAGTCCCTGGGAGCCAGGAAGTTTCCCAGTCACCAATTATCTATGGGCTGACTTACTAAACACTAGGCGCGCGTGCGTGCGTGCGTGTGTGTGTGTGTGTGTGTGTGTGTGTGTGTGTGAAGCTGAACAGGTTGTGCTGGGGTGAGTGGGGTTGACAGGGTCTCTGCCCCATGGCCCCTCACTGAGGCCCCCCTCCCCCATGCCTGATAAGTTCTGTTCCTTTGTTGCCTCCAGACCTGAGGTCCCCTCAGCCCCCAGAACTGACACATCCCTCTCAGATGAATAGAAGATGGGAGGGTGGGGGGTAAGGGGGCAGGAGTGGGGTAGGGTGTGCTGAGCCGTGTGGGTGGCCCATTCTGTTACTGCCAAGGGAACTGTCAGCTCTTGATTTACAGCCCCTTCTGGCCCCCATCCCCTGCAGAAGAGAGGTGAAGAAGGGTCATGGGGTCTCAGGATAAGAGCAGGGCAGGGACCCTGAGGGCAGATTTCTGGGAGTGTAAGTTTTGGGAAGAATTAGTGGAAGAAAAATTTTTAGTGAGGCAAGAGGCCCTTCTCTCATGGAAATTGCTCGGCTTTATAGCAGCAGGAATACAAGCAAAGAAAAAAGAAGGCTGTTCTGATAGGCAAGTGAGAGATCCATTCTGAACCAGTTCTGGACTGCAAGGCAGGAAACCTGAGTTTCAGTTCAGGCCCCTAACTCAGTAAGACCGAAGCAAGCCCCCTCCTCTCTAAGCAAGCCCCCTCCTCTCTGGGCCGCTTCCCCATCTATAAAATGGAAATGCAGAGGTAGATAATGTGATGTTTATATTTGGGCATTCTGGAATTCCCTTGGCAGGGGCACAGAGCCGGTGGTGGCTGACATGACCTTGTGATCACCGCCCTCTCCTTCCCAATGGCCCTGCTGGGCCTGGGCAGGGCAGTTGGCTGCAATTACTGGAGGCTCCTACCCAGTGGTTAAATCCCTGACCTTGGTGCTTGGGGGCGGGAAGGGTGGGCCCTGCTGGAGCCAGCCTGTGGCTGGGAATCCTCCTTGTCTTGGACTTCAAGTTGCTGGGTTGGGAAGAGGTATTTTTTCCGGTTAAGGCCACTTTCGGGAATTGGGCCGGGACCAGCCCAATTTCCTTTTCCAAGTGTCCTACATGTTGATGCCTGCTTGGCGTGGCCTTGTGGCCAGACTGGGACACCCTCAAAGGGGCATATGTTTCTGGGTGGCTAGGGAGCCCCTGCCCACTGTCTTTGAGAGTTGGGGGGAGCCTGAGCCTCTGTTCTCAGAAGCATGGCACCGGCTGACTTGGATGGGGGGAGGGGTGGCTGCTGATCCTCTTCCCAGGAATGCCTGCAGGAGAGGGGCAGGGACATCTATTCTCCCCGTGACCATTCCTCTTTCCCTGCAGGCCCCAGAGAGCCTCAGCCAATTGTTCTCAGAAACGCAAATAGCTCCCTACCTCCAGGGGCTTATGGAGCACTGTCCTGCCCAGCTCTGCTAAGATGCTCCTGGCCTCTCCCTCCACCCCATCCAAGGGACGGACCCCCAGCGCCGTGGAGAGGCTGGAGGCCGACAAAGCCAAGTATGTCAAGACGCACCAGGTGATAGCGCGACGCCAGGAACCAGCTCTGCGCGGGGGTCCTGGGCCGCTTACGCCACACCCCTGCAATGAGCTGGGGTCCCCTGCATCGCCTAGGACGCCCAGGACCGCCCGCCGGGGTAGCGGCAGGCGTCTACCAAGGCCGGACTCTCTCATCTTCTACCGCCAGAAGCGGGACTGCAAGGCTTCGGTGAACAAAGAGAACGCTAAGGGCCAGGGGCTGGTGCGGCGCCTCTTCCTGGGCACCCCCCGAGACGCCGCCTCGAGCAGCCCGGGCCCAACGGAGCGACCCACGGCTCCTGGGGGTTGGGCCGCGCCCCAAGATGCCCCGGAAGCGGCCGGAAAGCGGGCGCTGTGCCCCACGTGCTCCCTGCCCCTGTCGGAAAAGGAGCGCTTCTTTAACTATTGCGGCCTGGAGCGCGCGCTGGTGGAGGTGCTGGGCGCCGAGCGTTTCTCTCCGCAAAGCTGGGGCGCCGACGCCAGCCCTCAGCCCGAAACGTCCCCGCCGCCCGGCTCCGGGGACACCAGCGACTGGACGTCCAGCGATGGCGACGCGAATCGCTCGGACCGTGCGGGCGGAGGCGGCGGCAGCTCAGAGGCGGCGGGCTCCGCGCGGGACGGGCGCCCCCCGGTGTCGGTGGTGGAGCGCAACGCGCGCGTCATCCAGTGGTTGTACCGCTGCCAGCGCGCCCGCGGCCCGCCGCGCGAGTCGGAGGTGTGACCGCGGCCGCTCGGGAGCAGGCTCCCCGGAAGTCTGGGGCTGGGAGAGGGGCAGGGGGTGATCGTGGGGCTGGACCCGGGCACTGGCAGGGGTGCCCTGCCTCTGACGCGCAGGGTGCCTGTGGGCAAGCCCACCCTTCTGGATCTCTGCTTACCCAAGTGAACCATGGGGGCATGGGACAAAATTATGCCGAAGGCCCTTCCCAGCACAGACGGCGGAGAGGGAGGGGATGGCCTCGTGGCCGGGTCTGGGGAGTGAAGGATTGGCCTGGGAATTCAGAGAACCTGCTGAATAAAGTAAAAGCGTTATTTAAAGGAGTCGTGAGGTCGATGTTGAGGAAAGCGGCAGGACAGGTTTGTGTGGTGAACTGTGTGGGGTTTGGAGTGAGTTCCAGGTTGACTGTGTGACTCTGGCCGAGCACTTAAACTCTGAACTGCAGCAGCACCTCTCAGTGATCAAAATATTTTTTAAATGGTCGTCAAGCTCATGGCAATGTGCCCAGCACATAGGACATACTCAATAAACGATAGCTGCTATAACCAACCACTCCCGACTGTAGCTGCTGCCACTCACGCTATTACGATCACCTCCTCCACCAGCCCCCAGGGCGGTTCAAACTGGAGCCGCGAGCCGGGGATACTGCCTTTGAGGGATTCTAGGGTGGGGCCTGCTCTAGAAATCTGGGGTCCACCGGCGCCAAGGCCCCCATTCCTGGAGCTTTGCTGCCCCCTTTTGGTTACTAGGTGTGAAGGGCTGAGATACCGGGGATCCAGAATTGGACAATAAAGGAAGGGATCGTTCAAACCGGGATTTTGCCAACCCGCAGCCTCACACCTACCACTGTCATTCTTTCCCTCAAAGACACACCAAGTCACCTGTTTTCCTCACACGTTTGCACCCCTAAGTCTTTGTTGACGGTCTTCCTCCCTTTGCCTGGGTTACCTTCCCCTTTCTCTCCACTCATCCTTCTAAGATTACATGTTCATTCTCCCTCAGGAATTCCTGAATTCCCCAGTCGGCCTCATTTCCCCTGAGCTCTCAACTACAGCCCTATTTTTGAGCCTCAATTGTCACTGCGTGGTAGTCTCTGACCTCCTAGTGCAGGGACAGCGCACATAGTAGGACCACCGGCAACGTTTGTCGAATTAAAAGAGGCTGGACTGAGCGATGGTGTCTGTCCTGTGGTGTTTTCCAGCTCCCTGGAAAGCTGTACCCTAAATCTAACACAATCTATCCTGATAACCAGGCAGTCTCTGGTTATTTTCTACCTGCATGTTTGTGGGGTAAGAGGGGAGGAGCCCTTCAGCTGGAGCCCATCCTGAGGTCGCCCATCTAAAAGCAGCCTTCCCCGCTGACAAAAGTACGCGGTCACACAGGCTGTCGGGCCAGGGTTTTTATGGGGATGGGGAGGAGGGGCAGCCAGTTCGGCCTTCCGGCTAGTCACTCTTGGGCACAGCCTTCACCCTCATCTCGGCCAGTTTGTGGGTGAGGAAGCCCCACTTGAAGCCAGCCGCCGAGTCGGCCTCCTGCGGCTCCGGGTGCTCGGTGGCTTCCTCCGCAGCCTCGTCCCCGGCTTCAGGGTCAGGCTCCGAGGTGGATTCGGCGGCGCGCAGCATGGACGCCGCAGCCGACTGCGGCTGCTGCCACTTGCTGGCGAACACGTCCCAGAATCCGGGCCCGCGCGGCTCCGCCTCCGCCGTCGCTTGCGAGGACGCCTGCGCCGCCAACGGGCTGCGGGAAACAGGTGGGGTCAGAGGCAGGGGCTTAGAGAAGGGTCTCCGAGAGAGGCGCGAGGGGAAGTGAGGGAAGCCAGAGGAACCAAGTCTGGGAAGCTCGGGGTGGAGCCCTAAGAAAGGGGCGTGGTCCCACGAAGCGTGAGACGGGGCGGAGCTAAGTCCCAGGGGAGCGGGCGAGGTCAGATTCCGGAAGTGGTGGTCCGGAAAGCCAAAGGTGGACCCTTAAAGAGGTCGGGTGGGGGTTGGGATCCGGTTCTGGGATGGAGGGAAAATGAGGGGGGAGGATGGGTGGAGAGACCCCAAGGGAAGGAGACAAGTCTAGATTAGAGGCTTAGGGGAAGGGGGATCGTGAGGTAGCAGGGAGATGTGGGAGTAAGGGCTTGAGGTGGGACCTCTTCTGAGGAAGAGTCCTACAAGAGCTGGGAGGAAGAGGGAGGGAAAGAGGATAAGCTAGGGAATAGAGATGGGTGGGTCAGGAAGCCCTAGGGGAGAAAGGAGTAGAGGAGCGTCAAAGGGAGAGTTTGGGCTGGAGGTAGGGGCAGAGATGGAGGCTGTGCCAGAGATAGAGCTAGGAGGAAGACGGAGGCCCTGGGTCTGACCCCCTAACCCCCAGCATCAAAGACCTGCTGACTGGTTCCTAAACTAGTGTGCCTTAGGTCCTCAGGGAGCTTGCAGAAAATCTAGATTCCAGGCCTCAGCCCATACCCGCTGAAGCAAAATCTTTGAAGGAGAGTCTGGACATTTGTGTTTGTCACAAGCTTCCTAGGAGGATGAGGATTTAGACCAGTATTTGGAAACCACTGATCAGAATTATCCTCTGTTCCAAGCATCTAAAGGTTTTCTCCTGGGTTCCCTGATTCTAGGAAGATAACCCCTACCACATGGATAGGGAGAGACAGCCCATAATACCTTCTAGCACATCAGACCCAAAAGCTGGTAAATTCCTCCTGAGATCTAACCTAATCTCCCAGAGATACTATTTTGGCCTCTTTCCTCCTGAGAAAAATGGGAACAGCCAGGAGCTGGCCCATCCCAGCCCTCTGTGGTCCAAAAGACAGACAAACAGACCAGATAGAAAGGGCATGGAGAAGGGGATCCCAGACCCATTCCAGAAACCGCCCTCCCTCCCCCCTACACACACATACTGGTCAGCACAGGGATCCGGTGGCAGCAGCTTGTCCTCATCTTCTTTGTTAAACAGAGATGACATTGTCAGCCAACCTTTCACCCCGACCCCCTGAACCTGGGAGGGAGGGGCTGAGAGTTAGGGAGGGGCCACAGCACCACCACCCAGGACTCCACAGCAGCCTCTGCCAGGCTCCCCAGGGGTGCTTTGGAAGGAGGGAGAGAGAACTCACCCGGCGGGCCAGCTGTGTCATAGGATTGAAGGCTTCTGGAGTCGGTTCTGCCATCTCAGACTCCACTAATGCTGGGTTCTCCCTCTGGGACACAAGATCCCCACCCTGCATGAGAGAGGCCCCAGAGGAATGGCAACTCCCTCCCCCGCTGCTAGCCTGGTACACACAAACCAGGCACCCCAAACTCCACAGAACTAAATACACACCTAGTCCCCTCACACCCTCTACAAATGCATACAGGTATTCCTCTACACAAAGCTACCAGTCACATACATCACCTGTATAGAAAATCTTTGCAGACACCCTTGTGGACACACACCTGCCCACCCACAAACACTTCCATACACACCCAAAAACATGTAGACATGGGTATGCACAATAATGTAGACACACACCTGTACATGAGCATGCTTCCACATGGCTACATCTCTTCACCTGTATGTATCTGTACATGCTGTGAGGCACCTATACAAGGACACATACACAATTATACCATTCACACCTGTGCATATATACAACTGCAGACAGCTGCATAGAGGCCCACCTGGAGCACAGAAAACCTCTCCACTCATCCACAGACACCAAAACACAGATATACACACTCAAATACTGTACACAAACCATACAAACCAAACAGCTGTTAATTCTGTACAGAGGCATACAGGCATAGATTTCGGCCCAAATTGCACACACCTGAAAATATTTATACCCAGTTCACACCTGCACATACACCTTCACTGGGGATTCCACATGGATGTCAATCCTAATACTGACCCACAAATACTTCTACACATGCCCAACCCTGGACACCAGCCTGGCTAGATATATACTTACACACATACACACACACACACACACACACACACACACACACACACCACAGAATGTGTTCCTGCCTCTGCCACTTCTATTTGTGCAACTGCCACGTATCACAGCCTCTAGATGTAAGAGTGTTTCAGAGCCTTTTCAGTTTTTTTAATGTCAGGACAAACATGGTCCAAGTGTGGCTCTGATCTGATGCTGCTTCAGTGACCCTCAGAGTACAAGTGTCACTTTCCCTACCTCCAGTACCAGAAAGCTCACTTCCCCTCAAGGTAAGCCGTCCCATTTCTGCTCAGCTCTGCCCATTAAAAAGTTTTGTGGAGCTGAATGTACCCTGTGTGGCCATTGCCCACTGAACCTAGAAGGATCTCTTCCATGTGGCAACCTTGGAGATCTCTGGAGACAGTGACCTCTCCTCTAGTGTCCCCCAAGTCTTCTTTCTCAGTTTTCTTGGACCTCTGGGCTTTCTGACACTGCACCATGCCATTTGTTGTCCCTGAATGTGCTGATTCCTTCTGCACAAATGTGCCTCTCCCTTTCTGAGCCTGCCCCTTGCCCTTCTTTGTACCTTTCACTCCTGCTGCCCCTCTTTCCACACCCCACCCAGCAAGCATGGATGATACCCACCTCCTCTGCCAGTTCCTCCTCAGATTCCCCACTCAGGGTCTGTAGCACTTTGGATTTGTAGGTTTTCCAGAAGGCCTGGTTCATGGCTGCAGGGAAAACGGGCCTGGCACCCAGGCACAGGAAGGCAGTGGCTCAGTGGGCACCCAGTGGGTCTGGCTTCAGGAACTTGGTGAGGCCAAGAGCCTGTCCCAAGGATCAGGTGACTGCATTAAAGATGCACCAGCCTCCCCAGCTGGCACAGTGCCCAGCAAGTGAACCAATCCAAAAGAGTCGGGATGGGGGTGGGACAGAGCGAGCTTATTCCACCTTAGCCCCTTGGCATGACCCATATTGGCCAAGAATAATGAAGACATCTCTTTCTACAGAGGCCTAGGAGTTCTTGAATTTGATCTCTTGGAATGTTTCCAGAAAAGTCCTCTTCCATTCACAAAGTCCATTTCCAAAGTCCTTGGGCCCAGGACCCACACTGGTGCCTCTGTGACTGTAGCCACACCAGCTGTACCCTCAGCAGGGCCCTGCCCTATGTCCCCACTTAGCCTCTATGAACTGAAGTGGGAAGATCCCAAGACCCTCAGTCAGCGGCTCCGGCTTACATTTCACTGTTTTGTCTGGGTTGGAAACTGATTCCTCTCCCCAGGGATGCACGTGCCTGTCTCCCTGTTTCCTGGCAACAGGTTCCAAAGAGCTGGAGCCCCTGAATTATTGCTGAGCTGCTCTGGTCAGCCTGGAAGGCACCAGGCTCTGGTAAATGGGAAAAGGCTTCTCTGGTTCTCTCCCCACTCTAAGCACACAACACGTAGGCTGTATCTCTCTCTGCCTTTGCTGCCAGCCTACCCCTGGGAGTCTAGGGCTCAGAGAAAGGGGGCAAAAATAGGTGGTCCTTTTATGAGCACCTCCCTTTCTCGTGGGAGGAGCTGATCCCTCTTAAATCTACCAGGATACCTGAGTACTGTGATCTCTGGGGAGGGACACCCTCTCCCTCACAGATTTGGCTGGGGGTGGATGGAGGATAAAGACCCAAGGGAATAAATGGGGAGCGGTGAGAAGTGGCGAGGGCTTTGTCAGGGACTGGAGGTATCTTGGGAAGTCCTATGGGGGCTGGGATCCCAAATGTATTCATCTTATTCATTTATTAATCTATTCACATCACAGACATTTTTCTCTGCCTCCCGGAGATAAACATTCCACCTCCACCTCTGAGTCTAAGATCTGGGAACCTGGAAGGAATGATAGGGCCGGAAGATAACGCTGAGATAGGTGGTGCAGGGCGGGACAGGCAGGGCAGAGGGACGCTCGCCAGCGACCGTCCGCATGGCCTTTTCACGCCCGCAAGTTGGGACACTTCGTTGGGCTCTGCTCAGAGCGCTGTCACTGGCATCGATGGCCGCTGGGGGTCGCTCAAGGTGCGGCCCGCGCAAGTGACGTCATCAGAGGCGGTCGGCCGGGGACTGCCCCGCCCCCGAGCGTCGTATAACGTCATTGAACAGTCCGGAAGCGCCCACACGTGTACTCCCATCTCCACTCTGGGTGCTCCTGCCCCGCTGTCAGTAGCCATGGGTCGCTCCCGCCGGACGGGCGCGCACCGAGCGCACTCTTTAGCCCGCCAGATGAAGGCGAAGCGGCGGCGGCCGGACCTGGATGAAATTCACCGCGAGCTGCGGCCCCAGGTTTCCATACGGCCTCGGCCAGACCCGGGCGCTGAGCCCGACCCCGATCTCCCAGGGGGCGGCCTGCATCGCTGTCTGGCCTGCGCGTAAGTCCCGGTCGGGCCCGGCCTGGGAGGAGAAGGGTCCGTAGTATGGGCCGGGGCTGTGAGGTCCGGGCCTCGGAACGCACGGGGACTCGTGGGTCTGCCGGCCTCCAATCCCTTTAGAACCGGAGCTTGGCGTCAGGAAATGAGCTAGGGTCAGGGAGACATACGTACCTACCTGAGAGGCATCAATCACCTCCTCACTCTCTTCCAACCTCCCATCGCTACAGGAGGTACTTCATCGATTCTGCCACCCTGAAGACCCACTTCCGATCCAAAGACCACAAGAAAAGGTATGAAGGAATAAGGAGAGGATTGATGGATGGGTGCCAGGTGGACAGGGCTCGCATCTGGTCAGCTCCCAATTCCTTTTTTCCTCCCAGGTTAAAGCAGCTGAGCGTGGAGCCCTACAGTCAGGAAGAGGCTGAGAGGGCAGCAGGTATGGGCTCCTACGTGCCACCCCAGCGGCTGGCAGTGCCCACAGAAGTATCCACTGAGGTTCCTGAGATGGACACATCTACCTGACATGGCCTGAGGATGCAAGGCAGAGGAGCTGCCCATGGACAGTGATGCAGGGCTAGGCTGGGAGAGACTGTGCCAACGTCTTTTGGCCCTGGGTTTGCCGAGTGGATGGCCTCTTCTGAGTGCCCTCCCCCTTGAATAAAGGAACTGCATAAAGAAGGCTTGCTTCTGACTCCCTAACTTTCAGGCAAACCCCCCTCCCCCCAAACTCCTGCCCTGTAAGGGTTTCTCTACTACTCTTGTGTACAGGGTCTATTCCCCACTTGGTCCAGCTTTGAAACCTGCATCCTTGCCTTCCCACAGGGGTCCTGGCATCAGCTGGAGCCCCCAGGTGGAGGGGCGGGGTGTAGGATCCGGTTTATACTGTCCTGCTTCCAACTAAGGCAGAAAAGAAGTGGGCTCCCAAGATTGTAGCCCCTGAGGAGTTACCTACCCCCAGAACCCAGGTGAGAGGCTGCCCACTTCATCATGGAGCCTGTGGCGGTGGCTGTTGCCCCACCATCTTCCAGACAGCATAGCAGGAGCCACCCAGCCCGAGGACAGCCAGCAGTGTAGCCACAATCCCAGGCAGTGGACTCCTGGGCTCTGCCTTCAGCTCCCCGGCTACCTGCATCTGTGAATGTACAAAGGGTCCACCTGAAGGGTCAATTGAGACTTCAAGCAAGGTTGTGGGGGGTGTGGGGGGGAAGGGGCTGAGAAGGTACAGCTGGGTGAGGGAGACGTGGCTGCCATTGCTGCCCTAGCGAGATTCCACCCCAATTCCTTTTGCTTCACTGCCTATCTGGGTCCTGGCTACTCAGGCGGCAGGGAACGTGACAGCCTGGCTTGCCTGTTGGAGGTGACAACCCAGCCATGGTAGGGGGAGAAAGGGGTCGGTGCCAGAAGCTATTGGTTAGGGGTACTTACCTGTAGCACCCGGAAGTAGCCAGGCGTCAGGCGTCGAAATCGCATGGTGGATGCCACTAATCTTCCTGGCATCCTGTTGGGTGGAAGCAGGAATGAGGACCACTGGTGTTCATGGTACCAAGAAGTGGAAATCAGGGCATAGAGGTTTTTGGCCTCTCATATGCATGAGAGCCATGCTCTCAGATGATACTCACCAGTGTCTGCATCAGTCTGGCAAGGGGCAGGGCAGCTGGACCTTTAAATCTGGTCCCTTCCCCCACCTGCCTGCCCTGCCAGCCTTAGGAGCAGCTGTCAGGAGAGATCAGCATCAGGCCTGAGCAGCACCTCCCCCACCTACCCAGCTGGCTGACTGGGCTGGGTAGGCAGGAGAGGCCTTGCCCGACAGGGCTCAGTAGTCTCAGGCCTGGACCAGGTACTGGGAGGGCCTCTACAGCCCTGGTCCCAGCCCTTTCCCTACCTCAGATGATTGCATATCACCAATCAGCTCTCAGCAAAGGACGGGGAGGGTACTGTAACCCAACCCCCTCCTCCAAACAGTTGTTTGCCTATTTCAGTTGGTTTTGGTTAGATTAATTTAACTACCCCTACCTTTGGAGAGGACACATATCACCCCTTTCCCCAAGATGGAGTTTCTGCAGGGACTTTCCTACCCTCAGCTTGGGGATAAATAAAAGATTTGCATATACTGATTAAGGAAGCTGTCCATAATGTGCTAAAAAATAGTAGCTGACTGTGCTGGGCTTTATTCTAAGTACTTTATATGTATTACATTATTTCATTTGACATTGATTATCTCATAAAATGAAAAGAAAAGCCTAGTATGCAGAATAGTATGTAGAGTATCTGTATATAGAGAATGGAAGAACCCAGAAAACTTAACAGCGGCCCCCACTGGGGAATGGGTTAAGAACATGCTGGGAAAAAGACATGTCCTTCTTTCACTTAATAACCTACTGTTATGTAAGGACCTTTGAAATTTTTACAGCAAGTATGTAGAAAGAACTTTGGTAAACTCGTAAAACTACCTTCAAAATAGAAGCTGCCATTTACTGTGCCCCTAACTGCCTAGTTCTGCCAGATGCTGGGGACACAGAGCAAAGACACTGTTGTGGTTGTTAGACCCCCAGTCCTAGGGGAGTACATGAGTACAAGTGGCAAGTTTTTGTCTGTTTGTCCCCTACGGTAGTGTGAGTCCAGGGAGGGCAGAGGCTCGCTGGCTTCTCACCTCTATATCTTGTGCCAGCTCAGAGGAGGTGTTTGATGACATCAGGATGGTGGAGACACATCTGTGTAGTGGGCTTTCCCAGACTGGCACAGGGAGGATGTTGTAGGAACAAAAAGGCAAAAACATTAAGGAGGGACTCAGCATGGAGGAGGGTTGGAGGGGACACACAGGGTGTGCAGGGTGTGAGGACGTGAGGCGAAGGATGAAGCCAGAGAGGTGAGGGCCATGTTGCAAATCTGGAGCCTAATGGTTCAGAAATGAAGGAGCCAGGCCTGCAGGGACCTGGTGAGTGGGAGTCCCCTTTGAAGGAAGCAGCCGCTGATCTGCACTCGTGTTTGATGCCAAGTGTGAAGGTGCGATGGGGTCAGCAGAGCTGGCCAAGTTCCAGAGAGCTCAATTTGTATGTGAAATTATTAAATAACAACAACTAACACACACACAATACATGGGCATCTGTGGGCCACATTCAGACTTTCGGTCTTTGTGACAGGCAAAATAGTGATGGGCTTTGGAGGCCAGGTTTTGGGGCACTGGTAGAGATTTCAAACTAGGTGACACAGTCAGAGGGGTAGGCTCTGAGAAGGCCTCCCAGGCCCCTCCCCATAAAATTAAAGCAATAACTCAGCTCTACCCCATGTTACAGATTTCAAGATGCTTAAAGGGCCTCCTCACAGCACTAAGGTCTAGGTGTCCTCCTTTAGTGAGGAAGAAATAGGTTCAGGGAGGGGTGGGGCTCAGGCTCAGTCACACAGCAAGTGGAACTGATTCTGATTCCAAAGTCCTGAGAGTCCCCTAACCTGGGCTGCAGCTGCTGCTGCTAACTGCAAACAGTGTGTTTCAGACATTGTTCTAAGAGGAAGGCTCTTAACCTGGGCTTCAGCATTCAGGGTGCCCATAAACTCGGATGGGAGAAATATACTCCTTTTCACTAACCTCGAATCAAAATTTGCCATTCCATATGGGTTGAAGTATTAGCAGCATCTGTGGCTTCATTCCCAATAGAAGTCACAGATATTTTTATATCAAATTGTAATTATTGCAAGGATCTCAAAATATTATTTATGCTCATAACTATTTCAAAATCGTGAGTTATTAACCCACCATTAAATCGCACTGTTTTAGACACTCCTGCAATATAGCTGCCATTGACTTGGCACCTCTGTGCCCAGTAGAGGGTCACTGACCAAATAGTGATTCCGCCTGTTCTCACACCAGTAACCCAGGCTTCTCCACTGCCCCCCTGCATTCTCTGTTTCCTGATCAATACATTCCAGAAGGTGAGTCAAAGGCCACCCCTCAGTTTTAATGTTCTTCAAGCTGAGCGACCACACACTGATGTTGTTAGAAAACGAAAATATAACTTTAACCTGCCAGTCTTGTTACTTAATGCTAATAAACATATTACTATATCATAGCTTTGCGTTTTTAACATATTTTTATACTAATTGCCCTCCATGTAATCTTCAGCACTTTGTTTTAAAGTTTTAAAAGCATTATTCTGAGAAAGGGTCCAGAGGTTTCACCAGCCTGCCCAAAGGATCAGTGGCTCAAAAAAAGAGGGGCTAAAGGTTTTAGAGCTATTAACTTCGGTATTCTGTCCAGCAGCCCATTTTATAGACAGGAAAACTGATGCACGATGAGTAGGTTAGCCCCTGGTCCCACAGCTAACAAGCTGCAGAGCTGGGATTTGCACCCAGGGCTCTGGCTCCCAACCTCTGTGCTTTGCGGCTGGGCTCACTGCTCACTTTTCGGCCTCCTTTTGAGGATCCTGAAGGTCAAAGTCCGGCCCTGTGATTTGTGGCCAGTTTGGGGCAGGATCCCAGGCGGGCTCTGAGGTCACGTGGGTCACACACCAGTGGCACCGCCCCCAGGTCAAGCCTCCCTGCTGCTCTGAGATGCCTGAAGGGCGGGGCAGGAGGCAGACAGGCGGTGGGCCAATGGCCGTCTCAGCGCCTCACCTAGTCAGCCACGTGGGCCCAGGTATGCTGGTGGCTCCGCCCAGGGCCCAGCCCGGTCCCTCCCCAGCCCTGGGCTCCGGGAGCGGAAATTCCTGCGCCGGCGGGACGGATCGGACGCCAATCCCAACGGGCGGACTAGGCCATGGAGCCAGTAGCGACCTGGACCCCCGGGAAGGTGGCAGCCTGGCTGAGAGGTGGGTGGGGCCGGGACAGAGTTGGGTTTGAGGGTCTTTGGGGTGGGGAGAGGTAAAGGAAAAAGGACCTGCTGAGGCTGTCAGTTGGTTAGTCTGTCAACAAGTATTTATAAGCGTCTGCCGTGAATCTGGTACTGTGCTAGGCAGAAGGATAGACGAGATGACCCCGAGGACCCAGAAAGGGTCTCCCATTGCCCCAAGAGGCAGCCAGGGTGGCGATGGGGAGTTGGTGGGTGTAATGAAAACAGAGGGGGCGGCCCCGGAGCGTCCCACGCCCACTTTATCTCCTTAATCTCCCCTCAGCTCCAGGGCTAGAGGGCTGTTATTAAACCCATTTTTCAGAAGCGGAAACTGACGCACTGAGCCAGGAAGTGATTTGCTCAGGCTTTGTACTAGGGCCTGCCCTGTTTCCCTTCTTCCCACCCCGAGTCTCCCAGTGTGTGAAGCAGAAGCTCCAGCCAGACTGAAGGGGTTGCCACAGCACCCTGTAGGGGCCTTACAGGGAGATGCCCCCCAGGCTCAGTGAGCCCAGATGGGTGGGAAAGGGTCTAGACAGCTGGCCGTCGGAGAGACTCAGAGCAATGAAGACCTCTGACATGCAGGTGGGCGGGGAAAGGTGAGTCAAGACTACCTCCTAGAGGGGGAGATGGATTGGGGGCGCAGTTTCAGGGTGACCAGACCCCATAAAAGCAGGGATTCAGGGCTGGATTCAGACTCCCAGAGGGGATTCCAGGCCCCGCCCCCTCATTCACCAGCTCTATGACCATAGGTCTGTTTCCCCATCCATAAAATGAGAATAGTCACTCTGGTGTCATAAAGTGGACAAAAGGAGACAATCATGACAAGTGCCTAGGATGTGTAACTAATTCAATGTCAGGGTCTGAAGGAGGCAGCACAGAACATTCACTGTACATGGAAAAAGACTTTCTTGAGGGCCATAGCCATGGAGTAACAGGTTCATGAGCTCCTGTCCAGGGCTCTTAATGTCAGATAGGGAATGAGAGAGCTGTTCATCACACACAGGTTTCCGAGTGAAGAAGCTTGGCTTGGAATTCCTTCAAAGAGTGAGCAAGCTGTTAACCTCTACTTGTATCAGTTTTCCCAGCTGTGAAATGGGATAACAATAGTCTCTACCTTCTGGATTCAGTGAGGATCAAATGTGTGAATATGTTTAAAGGCCTTAAAATTTTGTCCAGCTCATGCTAAGCATTCAATAGGTATTTTTCTTATTTTGGAGGGTCTACCTTGTGCCAGGCATGGGCTGGAATTAGAGATGAACAGTTATTTAAGGCCTGATCCTTGAAGAGCTCTTGATAAAGTGGGAGAGGCCAATGCTCAAGTGCAGGGGTTTGTGGAGGCACAGGGGGCAGTGACAGCAGGTGAGGCCCCTACCCAGCCTGGGGTGTTGTGGATCACTTCCTGGAGAGAGTTAGATGAAAAAGGGAGTAAAGGAGCTGGAAGAGCAGTCCAGGCAGAAGGAATAGCACCTGCAAGGACCTTGAGGCAAAGGAACATTTCAGGAGCTGCAGGGAATTTGTGCTCTGGATCCGAAGTGTTGAATTTGAGGGGCTGTACCAAGAGATGAGACTGGAGAGGCAGGTGGCAGCCTGATCACATCTGGCCTTGTAGATCATGGTAAAAAGTCTGGTAATAATAATACGGTGGCTGTTATTGACCGTCAACCATGAACCAGGAAATGGGCCAAGTGTTTGACATGTATCATGTCATTTATACACCCATGATTAGAAGGTAGGTGCTGTATTATCCCCACTTTACAGAAAACTGAGGCACAAAGCAATTAAGTTATTTGCTTAAGCGCTGGGTCTCCCTGACTTCAGAGCCCCATGCTTTGACTCCCCGTTCAGTAGTTCTCAGAGAAGTGAGCATCGGAACACCTGGAGGATTTATTAAAATGTGAACTGCTGGGCCCTACCCCTGAGGTATATGGTGGAGCTGAGAATTTGTATTTCTAACCAGCTCTCCAGGGAGGCTGCTGCTGCTGCTGCTCTGGGGACCACCTTTTGAGAGCCACTGCCCTTAACTATCTTACTTCTCAACTCAGTGGCCTCGTCTGTGAATGGGCAGAATACAGTTTAGGTGTCAGGGTTGTCATTAGGAACAGATGGGAGGGAAAAGGGCTTTGCGGGAGTGAAGAAGGGGCCAGAAACACCATGACACTCCCTGGCTCTCCTCACGCTGACCCCTGCTGTCCCTCCAGGCCTCGATGACTCCCTGCAGGACTATTGCTTTGAGGACTGGGAGCTGCCTGGCAAATACCTGCTCCAGCTCTGCCCCCGCAGTCTTGAGGCTCTGACCGTGTGGCCTATAGGCCACCAGGAGCTCATTCTTGAAGGGGTGGAACAGCTCAGGGCCCTGGTGAGTGAATGGTGGCCACACTGGGGGTTGCTGATGGGCTGGCCAACTACCAGGGAGTGACCTGCCCCTTCTCTGGAGCAGACCTCTGGGCTACAGACAGAGAACCTGCAAAGCCTGACAGAGGGGCTGCTGAAGGGGACCCATGCCTTCCAGAGCTTAGTCCAAGGCTGCCTGGGGGGTTGTGCCGAGACCCCTGCCGAGGTCCTCAGTGCCGCTGTGAATCTGGTGCGTGAGGCCCGTACCCTCCTTTTCTGGCTCAACAGGTACCTCAGACTCCTCTCAGGGTGGGTTGGGGTGACTGGTGAGGGAACCCTTCTCATCCTTGGCCTCCTCAGGGCCTGGGAGAGAAAAACAGAGCTTGACTCTTGTTCAGATGTGGTGAAGCAGGGCAGAGAGGTTAGTTGGTCTGTGCTGGGCACTGGGACGCCCAGGTCCCCACCCACCCCACCCTCGCAGCTTGTAATCATATCAATCATATCAACAACATTGCATAGAGAGCTTCTCCACCTCCTTGACTGGTTGCTGCTTGTCCCACAGGTCCCAACACAAATGTCACCCCCTCAGGGAAGCCTTCCCTGTTATATACTCTCAGAGCTCCCTACACTTCACAGCAGTTGAAGCTAAATTATTGAAGGAATTGTGTGTTTTATATCTGTCTCCCCAGTGTCTAGAACAGAGCCTGGCATGTATTAGGTGCTTGACAAACAAGCCTTGCGTTAAGCTCTTTAGCGGTATCAATCATCTCCTTTACCCCAAACCAAAACCCATCAGAGCAGGTATCCCCATGTTTCAGATGAGTAGTCAGCTCTGAGTGGCTATGTGACTTGACTGTTAAGCACAGTCCCCTAACCACTGTTCCACCCTTCCCCCTGCCAGGTACCTCTTCTCCCACTTAAACGACTTCTCGGCCTGCCAGGAGATTGGGGAGTTGTGCGGGGAGCTGGGCCAGGCCTTGCAGGAGGTAGGATAACCAGGAGCCAGGCTTGGCCCAGGCTGTAGAGACCAAGTCAGGCGAGAGCTTTTTATAAACTGTGAATCAGCACAGGATCAGGTGTGAGAGCAAGAAGCAGCGAGGGCAGGAAGAGAGGCGTCCAGCCACTGGGTAGGGGGCGATGGGGGTTTCCTAACTGGCAGGGGCAGCTCAGAAAGTTTGACATTCAGAAGGGGAGAGGGGAGGGCATATGTGGTGACTTCTGGGGGCCTGGTGTCAGAGGTGAGACTTTTGGGCCAAAATTCTAAGGCCATGTAGTTCTGGGAAGGAGGTCAGGTTGCGAGAGGCAAGGAGGGACTGTAGGGAACCCACCCTGTCTTCAGGAGAAGGCAGTGCCCCTACTCAGGAAAGGTCCCTGCTCTCTCACTGCTTCCAGGACTGTCCAGCGGCTGAGAAGGAGAGCCAAATCCTGAAGATTGTAAGTGTTGGGAGGAAGCGGGGTTGGGGCCCGGGGATGGGCTCAGGGCATGGGCTCAGGCTGGACATCCTGCTCTCTCTCCCCCAGTGCAGCCACGTGGCCGGGATCTGCCATAACATCCTGAGCTGCAGCCCCCAGGAGCTGCTGGAGCAGAGGGCAGTGCTAGAGCGAGTGCAGCTGGAAGATCCTTTGGTGAGCCCTCACCTTTAACCTCTCACCTCTGACCTTTCAGCAGCCTGGCCTGGGCCCTGAAACATGGTTCTACCTAGGATCCCACTGAGTCCTGTACTGTTAGAGCTGGAAGGCCTTTTTTGTATAGTTGTTAAAGGCCCAGAGGACTTTCCTGGGGTCTCACTGTCATTCAGCACCTTCCCCAATCCTGAGGTGCTGTAGCTGGTGCGGTCTCAGGTGACACAGTCCAGCCCTGAGACACAGACCTGGCAGGTTAGGCCAGAGGACATGAACTTTTCTGCTTTAATCTCTGTCCAATTGGGAAAACCAGAGCCCTGAGCCCCGCCCCTGCCCTGCCCCTGTCCCTGTTTATCCCTTCAGGAGAGTTGCTGAGAATCTCATACCTCAAAAGTCAGCAACCCCAGCTTCCCTCTAACCCTTATTGAAGGAGGAGGCAGAGGCCCACCAAGGAGTGGCAAGCCCAAAGTCACACAGCAAGTTGGGCAGTGCCAGCTTGAGACCAGCTCCTTCCCCAGTTCTGCCCACCCAGGAATCATGGTTCCCAGCGGGGATCCTGCCCTCTAACCCCGCTGCCCCCACACCCTCGGTGACTGCAGCCTCTGCCTCTACAGGGCCTGGAAATCCACACCACCAGCAATTGCCTGCACTTCGTGTCCCGAGTGGGCACCGAGGTAAGAGCCCCATACCCTTCTCAGCCTCTCACCCCCAAAATCCTCTTACCTGCCAGCCAACCCAACTTCAGGCCCCAGGAAGGTACCCCCCACCCCATGAACCGCACCCTCCCACCCCATGTCCCCTCTGATTTTCAGCTGCAGATCCAGCCTGGAGACGAGATTGTCCAGATCAATGAGCAGGTGGTGGTGAGTGAAGAGAGGGACATGGTGGGCGTGAAGGAGTTACTAAGTAGAACCCAGGGCTGGTGGGTGTGGAGAGACCCTTGGGGAGACCAGCGTTGTGGGAGCTGCCTTACATGAGGTGAGCCAGCTCCCACAGGTCAGAGCCGCCTAGGCAGAGCCAAGGCGAAGGGGCTCATGAGGCCTCCTGGAAGAGGAGGATGTGAGGCAGAGCAGAGGGCTGAGCGAGTGCTCTGAGGGAGAGGGCTGTTGGGTTGCTTCAGAGCCTCCAGCTCATCTTGATCCAGCCCAGTGTCCCTGCCCTGCTCTGCCTCCCAGGTGGGCTGGCCCCATAAGAATGTGGTGAGGGAGCTGCTCCGGGAGCCAGCTGGAGTCAGCTTAGTGTTGAAGAAGGTCCCAGTGCCGGAGACCCCGCCACAGGTACCTGCTGCCCGACCCTGCCCCCGGCCTACTCTTACACTCCTATTGCCAATTCGTTTACCCTGTTTCTGTTTGTTCCCCAGACGCCTCCTCCGGCCCTGGACTTCCCACAGCTCAGGGTCCCATCACTGGTTCTGGCCCCACCGTCTCCCAGGTAACAGGCTCTGCCCCAGGTGCATCTTGGTGGGGGAACCATGGGCTCATCTCATCTTTTCTTTCTCTCCCCAGGGCCTCGTCTGAAGACATCTTTGCCTTTGACCTGACTTCAAACCCAAGTTCTGGGCCCAGTCCTGACTCAACAGGCAGTTTCAAAGCCCCACCAGGTGGTGGATGCCCTGGGCAAGGTATGTGGGGCGCCTGGCTCTGACTCCTGACTCTGCCTGATACCCCCACCCTATTGCCGGGCCTGGGGCTGGCCTCGTGGACCCTCCGACTCCTCCCTCCCTGACAGACTCTGCCTCCCTTGACCCTGAGCCCCTCTCCATCGCCCCTGTACCCCCAGCCACACTCCCAGCAGAGGTAGCAGAGACTCAGAGACCCTCAGAAGATCCTGACAAGGTCAGCTCAAGGGTTCAACAGGAGGGGGGTGGTTCTGAACCCAGACCCCTCTCTAACTCCCTATGGTTTTTTCAGAGTTCTGTCCCTGGTCGGAAGAAATCAAAAGGTATGAAATGCACCTGACTGGGTGGGGGATCCCCCAATATGAGGAGCTCTTAGAAGTCTTTACAGTGCTGGGCAAGACTCCCCCCACTCCTCACCCCCCTTACTTGACACACAGGCTCTCCTGGAAAGAGCTCTGTTTCTGGGGTCTGACAGACCTGTGCTCCCAGCCTGGGCCTCTCACCAGCTCCATGGCTTTTAGCCAACAGCTTGTGCTCTGATCTTCGGTTTCCTCGTCTCTCAAATGGGAAGAGTGATCATCCCCACCTCAGAGCTGACACATGTAACATTCCAAGCCCAGAGTATGGGGTTCAGAACTATCAGCTGGGGATGCTCGTGGAGGGCAAGGGAGGAGTTTTGGGGGTCCGGGACGCCTTGCCAGCCCCTCAATGACCTTGTGCTGTGCTGCCACAGGTGTGGCGACGCGGCTGAGCCGTCGGCGGGTGTCATGCCGGGAGCTGGGCCTGCCAGACTGTGATGGCTGGCTCCTGCTGCGCAAGGTGCCCGGTGGCTTCATGGGTCCACGCTGGCGCCGCTGCTGGTTTGTGCTCAAGGGACACACGCTTTACTGGTACCGCCAGCCCCAGGTAAGACCCTATATACACACACAGGTAAGCAAATGAGCCACCTCAGGGTCACAGTTCTTGTCCCTACTCCACCATCTACACCCATCTGTGGTCACAGGTGGGCCACAGACCCTCGTGAGCCCCAGTGTTCCTATCTGTAAAACAGGATCACTCCTCGGAGAGACATGAGCTACTATGTGTATATAAGCAGTCTGGAAAAGTGTAGAGGGTATAGAGAGCCACTTTTATTCTGCCCACCTTTCCCTCCTGTTATTCTGTCCATTCTAGTGACGGGCCATTCGTTCAATTGTTTATTCATTCAACAAACATTCAGGTGCTTACTGTGCACCCAGCTCTGGGCTGGGCATTGGGGACACAGGAAAAACTTGGACAGGTACTGCTATTCCAGGCTGGTGGGGGAGAGGATGGATACACACTTGAGGACAGTGCGGGAAACACATGCTAGCTAAGATGAAGGAAAAGCCCAGAGGATGGGTGGGAGCCCACAGAGGTGGCCAGTCCAGCCTGAGGAGTGATGAAGGCTTCCTGAGAAATCAATGCCTAAGGGTTAGTCAGATGGAAAGGAGAAAGAATCACAAAAAGGAGAACAGTGTTTGCAGAGCTCAGTGGTATGAAGCAGTGTCGTCTGTATCTATTGATAGAGCGAATGCATGAGCAGGCTCGTCTTTTGTGGCTCTTTGTCTGGATCTCTTTGGCTCTCCTTTCCTGGCTCAAAGGCACCCCTTGGTCACACCCTCAACCTCAGATTCCTGCCCTGAGCTCAGGACACTGAGAGATTTGTGGTTAGAGAGCTTAGGAGATGCCCCCGGGGGGAGGTGTCCTCAGGACCTCGATCAGGCCTCAAGGGTGTTGGGGCTTCATGCTGACCTTCACTGTGATTCCCCCAGGATGAGAAGGCCGAGGGGCTCATCAATGTCTCCAACTACAGTCTGGAAAGTGGACATGATCAGAAGAAAAAATAGTTAAGTACTAGCTGCGACGGAGCAGAGGGGCGTGTGGGGGGGACGCGGGAGGGGACGGAGAGTTGTAAGGAGAGAAAGGAAGATGTAAGGTGACAGGACGGGTGGGGTGAGGGCAGCGAGGAGCTGGGATTCCCAGTGCAGCCTCTCTGGGTTCCGGATGGGCACAGTCAGGCTGAGTGGGGCCCCTTTGCTTCCTGGCAGTGTGTTCCAGCTCACCCATGATGTATATAAACCCTTTATCTTCGCTGCTGATACCCTTGCGGATCTGAGCATGTGAGTGCCCCCACCCCCATTCCCCAACTCCCACATGAGTGCTTGGGAGCCTGGATTCAAATCCCAGCTCGCTGATAGTGGTTGATCAAGGCACTCTTCTAAGCCTCAGTTTTATCATCTATAAAATGGGCTAATAAGAGTTCCTACCTCAGCGTTGCTCTGAGGATTATATTAGAAGATGATATCAGGGAAAGGCCCCTGGCATACAGTAAATGGAAACTCCCTGAACCCATTTGCCCCTCCACAGGTGGGTGCGCCATCTCATTACCTGCATTTCCAAGTACCAGTCTCCAGGCCGGGGCTCCCTACCCCGAGAGGAAGGTGGGTGCCTCACAGGGGTGATTCTCACCGGGCCATACCTGAGCCTCTGCATTTCCTGGGATGGGGGCTGGGAACTCAAATGCCATAGCCTACTTCCTGGCCTCCCAAAACCCTGTGAAGCTTAGTGGGTTCCCCAACGGCTCCTGTCCACCCTAGACTGCTACAGTGAGACAGAAGCAGAAGACCCTGATGATGAAGCTGGGTCCCGCTCAGCCTCGGTGAGTAGGGGCCAGGTGGGGGGTAAATAGCAGGGCGTGGAACTCAGACTGAAACCTTCCTCTTCCTCCACCCTGCCCACAGCCCAGCCCGGCCCAAGCTTGGAGTCCGCTCCATGGAGACACATCACCTGCAGCCACCCCCATGCAGGGCAGCCCAGAGACCTCCTTCAGCCTCCCAACAGGTGTTGTGCTGGGGGTGGGAGCTGAGATGGAGAGCTGAGACTGGGATGGGCACACCCTCATCCTGCTCCCCTCTCCCACAGACAACTATGAAGGGTCACTGGAAGGAATGGTACAGGGCCTGAGGCAGGGTGGTCTGTCTCTCCTGGGCCAGCCACAGCCCTTCACTCATGAACAATGGCGGAGCTCTTTCATGCGTCGCAACCGTGACCCCCAGCTCAATGAGCGAGTGCACCATGTGCGGGCGCTGCAGAGCACACTCAAGGTCAGCTGGGGGGCACTGGGCATGGCCAGGGGCTGAGCTCTGGGCTTTTGGCTCTGGTTCCTGGTCCGCAGCTCTGGTCTCCACTGTAGACTGGGCCAAGTTCTAGGTTCCTGGAGCCAGGCCCTCAACTTGAGGACTGGGGCTAGATCGGGCCAGGTGCTGGGTTCTAGGCACTGGACTCCAGAGTTAGCTCTGGGCTCAGGCTCTGCCCTCCTTCCCGGGTGATCATGGCCCCCTTAGCCCCTACTCTCCTCACAGGCAAAGTTGCAGGAGCTGCAGGCCTTGGAGGAAGTGCTAAGCGACCCCGAATTGACTGGAGAGAAGTTCCGGCGGTGGAAGGAGCAGAACCAGGAGCTCTACACAGAGGGCCTGGCGGCCTGCGGAGAGGTGCAGGCTGAGGGCAGCTCCCAAGTCCTGACCTCTGACTCTAGAGAACAGTCTTTCCACCCACTGCCCTCTGACCCTGAGGAAAACGCCCATCTCTGCCCCCTGGCTCCTGAGAGCAACCTCCAACCTCCTGACCTCTGACCCTGGCCAATACCCTAGCTCCTGACCTCTGGCCCTGAAGACCACCTTCACTGCCCCAGCCTCTGTCATGTCTAGAGCATTCTTGGATTCTGTTCAACGTTGGAAGTAGAGCTAGTCCATGGTTTCACCCCAAGCTGAACCCCTCTGCCTGAGCGTCCACCATTTCCACTACCCTCTCCCCCTTGCCAATGAAGGCGTGGGAGGCTGGGCTGAAAGAAACTCTCCCATCCATCCTGCCCCCCTCCAAGGTCTTGGCACTTCTTTCCTCCCCAGACCAGTCTGTACAGCCATTCTTCACTTTGCACAAGAGACAGTTTTCAACCAAATAAAGTCAATTTCTCTGACATGAATCTATGTGTGCCTTTGACCTCTATGTTAGAATCAGGAATCTCCTTCCCCCTGGGACTGGGATGAAAAGCTGTCAGGTGGGTGAGCGCACTGGGCAGCCCGCAGGCATGGACTCTGTACCTGGAGCGCCTGCCTACCAGGATGATGATTGCTGATCCATGGCTGGTGAGGGCTCCCGCTCACACTCACTGTCCCCAGCCCTTTGGAGACCAGAGGGTGCTCTCCTGCCCCATCCCCAGTGGGGACAAAGTGAAAAATAGAGACCAGCCTTTCACTCTCTAGATGGGGAACATACCTTTCATGGAAGGACAGGGTGGACTCCTGAAGACAGGCGTGGTAGGATGGGGTAACCGGTGGGCAGGGGTGCAGGCTGTGCTCTGCTAGGTGGAGGGCCCTAAGGGGAAACATTTTCCTCTTCTCCTTAGCCCAGTCTCACCTCCAGCTCCTGGATCCAGAGCAGAGACACACCCCTGTGTCTCCATCTGGGCTGTACAGGAGACCTGACCTGCTCCCATCATCCTCTGACCTCTGGCCCCAGTCAAGCTCCTTAGTGTCCCTGGCTTCCCTTGTAGGGGGGGGGTGTCCCACGAGAGCAGTGGGAGGAGCTTCTCAAGATCGGAATTCCTTGGAATGCAGATGGCTAGAGGTCACAGAGGCCTCTATGATATCACCACTAGGGGGAGCAAGACCGCTTGGAATGGAGTTTCTTTGAAGAGTGGGAGGAGACTGAGCGACCATGACCGATAACTGGTGGCAGCCATGGAGCAACACCAATATCAAAACTTTGACTGTCATGGTAGGCGGCCCCTGTCTGGCCCCACCACCTAAGCTGGGTATCCCAGGGTCTGGTGGGGCACAGGAGGACCATCCTGGGTCCAGAGGGGCTGGGGCTGCACTCATGGACCCTTTCCTAAACCTTGCAGAGGACCACTCATGATCCCTACACCCGGCCAGAGGAGCAAATGCTCATCAACCGCCAAGATGTCACTGGCAGAAAAGTAAGGATGAGGCTTTGCTGCAGCCATCCTCACCCCCACAGTGACACTTCTGTAGCTGTGCCCATGGGGTAACAGGCCTCATAATAACTCTGTCCCTTCTTCCTTCTAAATGTCCCCCCAGGGGGCAGTCTCCAGCAGTCATCCCTGCAGTCACCCGCCCATGATATGTTAGTAACTGCCTGTCAGTACCCCCCACAGGAACCCCTACATAATGATAGTCACTTCCCAGCGGAGACCCTAAAAGAGTCTCCCTTGCAATGACCCCCATGAAAATCCCCAGCAGTGACTCATTTAGGTAGGTGGTGACCTCTATACGGATGCCCCCGTTCCATGATCCCCACTTAGGTCCCTTCCCCCCAAGAGTGGCCTCCCCAGGGACCCCCATTCACTGAGAGCAAATATCCAGGCAGAGGCCTCCTATGGTGACACCTGCCTGAAAGAAAGTCAATCGTCCCCTCCCAGGATGCCTGGGACATGCAGGAGTTCATCACTGGCATGTATATCAAGCAGCTGCTCCGACACCCGGCCTTCCGGCTGCTGGTGACCATGCTGCTGGTGGTCAACGCCATCACCATCGCGCTCCGCACCAATTCCGTCCTTGGCCAGGTGGGACTCCAGCCTGAACTCTGCCCCCACTGATCTAACTGGGGCCTGGGCAAGGTACTTCCCTTTCTGGGCCTTAGGATTCTCATGTGTCCATGATGACTGGCTTGGCTGCTGCTCTTCAAGGGCCTGTCAGCTCTGACCTTCCAGGGGTCTAGAGATCAAGGAAGACATTGTGGTGGAGGGAGCCCAGCTTTGAGGAATGCATTGTATTTGTACAGGAAGGGCAGGGAAAAAATGGTGTGAGAGTATGTGGGAGCTCAAAGAAGACATCAAACCTGCTCTGGCAGGGAGGGAGATATCAGGGAAGGTTCCCTGGAGAAAGGGACAGATAAGCTGAGAATAAAGAATGAGGAGAAGCTGGCCAGGCAGAGAGAGGTGAGGAAGTATGTTGGGGACAGAAGAAATAGTGTGTGAGTTCTATGTGCCCAACTTGAAGTCCAGTATGACTTTGGTCTTATCCTCGATGTTTTACTGTCTTACAAGGAGGATACTACATACATGGATTGTACTATTTAAAATCAATATTTTTTTAAATGTCCAATATGGTGGCTGGTGTGTTCAGAAAGGTGGTCAGTGGCCAGGTCACGCAGGGTCTTTAAGATATGTTAAGGAGGATGGCCTTTATCCTATGTCATTGGAAAGCCAGGGAAGGGTTTAAAGCATGGAAGTGACAGGACCAGACGCATGTTTTAGAAAACTTACAGTGGCTTCCACAGTGCAGATCACGGAAGAGGGTGTCAAGAATGGGAAAAGATGGAGCAGGCAGAGCTGTGTCAGAGATGTTCAGGTGAAAGATGATGGAGCTTGGACCGGGCAAATGGCAGTGGATAAAAAGAGGCCACACGCATCTGACGCTCCCTAGCTGTCAGATCCACGGGCTGTCCAGATTTCTTTATAACAAATACCTCTAGTGAGCACTTTTATATGCTACCTGCATCCATCATCATCTCATGCACATAGAGAAAAGGAGAGCAAGAAGTTACGTTTCTGGCTTGAGAACTGTGTGGGGATGGTGCTGTTTGTTGGGACGCGGGGACGTTGGTGAATGAGCAGGTTTGGGGAGGGTGCTCAGTTCAGTTTGAGTTGTGTAGTGTTTGAGGTACCTGTGCAACACCCACCCAGAGATGTCTAGTGAGGGGTTAGAGGCCAAGTCTGAAATGCTGCAGAGAGCACTGGGGTGGAGATGGTGCCATGAGAGTTGCCAGCATCTGGGTGGATGGTTGCCAAAGCTAAAGAAATGGATGACGTTGCCTGCGGAGAGAGAATTGACTGAGAAGAGGCCAAGACAGAGCTCTGAGGAGAGCCTCCAAGTAAAGGGCAGGCAGTGGGGGAGGCTGAGAAGGAGAGCCAGAGGAGTGGGAGGAAACCTGGGCTAGTGTTCCATCAGAGGAGTGGACACGTGACAGATGTGGCTAAGAGATGAGGCAATGTGAAGCATCCCTTGGATGCAGCTCTTGTGGCCTTGATGAGAGCTGCCTCTGATGTGGTGGAGGCAGATACCCAATTGCCAAGGTTTGCAGAATGAGTAGACTGGAAGGCAAATCACACCCACGGATGGATCATGAAATCAGTTCAGAGAACAGATACCAACATTCTGATATAGAATGAAATAGTAGAATGAAAAAGAATGAAATAGAAATTGTCTGTGTGTGTGTGTGTGTGTGTGTGTGTGTGTGTGTGTGTTGGGGTGTGGGATGAGAGAGAACATGCATGTTAGGTTATAAAATGTAAAATATATTTCTTACTACAGGTCCCAGTCAAAAATGCTAAAAGCCCTGGTATAGAATATGTGTCGATGAAGTTCCAGTTCTAGAGGCCTGTGGATGCCAGACTGATTTTGAACCTTAGGGAGGCATGGAAGGCTTATGGGTAAAGAAGGCAACTCTAATTTAGCTAGGGACATCCATGACTTGGAGAAGGCAAAAGGACTATTTAGGAAGCTCTTTCTGTGAATAGCGAAGAGAGCCTGTTGATTCCAATGGCCAGCGAAGTGATGCTGAGAAGATAGATGAGGGGACAGAAAGCTCTTCCTTGTTGTAGGCTGACATCCCTAGCTCATGACACCTTTTGGGAATTTGGAACAGGCAGGGAGCCCATAAACCTTGACCTCCCATCTGGGTTTAAGAAACTCTGTCCAGCTTCACACTGGCCAGTGGGTGGGGGTGGTGGCAAGGTGTGGGTAGGAGGAGGCTTCCATGTGTGGCAGCGAGCCTAGGGGCAGAGTCTGTTGACCACGGAGATAAAGGAAGAAAGAAGTCCAGGTGACATCAGTAACTGCCAGGGTGGAGTCAGGCCTCGAGCTGTTAATAGGGTCATAGACTATAGTGGAGTCACAGCTTCATGGGAGCTAAGGGAATAGACTCTACAATAGATTGGGTCAAGTGAGTTGGGTTTCAACAGAATTCAATGTCATCAAGTCATCCAGCCATCAGTCCATCCAGCCAGGGAACATGACCTAGACCCATGAATGGGGGGGAATACCCAGGATTTCTGTCAGGCCTGGGGGTTTTGGGGAGCTGAATCAGCCGGGGTGGTTGGAACAACCAAAGAAGGAAGGGTGGGGCTTGGTTTCCTCCATCTCAGGGGCCACGGCTTTTTCTCGCAGTCCAGGAACCTCTTCTGCCTCTCCCCCACCTCCTTTTTCCAAGTATCTCTATTCTAGAGGTTAGGAGGAAAGGTTTGTTGTCAGACAATCACTATTGCTAACTGTCTGACCTTGGACACCTCTCTGATTTCTTATCTGTAAGATGAGAAGAAAACCTACTTTGTAGGACGATGGTGATGGTAGCATGAAGTGATGCATGTGTGGTCTTAGCACGGTGTCTGACATGTACATGCAAAGTGTGCTCTAAGGGAGCTACAAAGATGCTAAGGATGAAAAGCAGCAGGAGTATGGGCCTTCCCTCCCCTGCAAACATCCTCTCTCCTTGGCCCCGCTCCACTGACCTCTCTGACCCTTTCTTTTTCTCTGTCTTCCATGTAGAAACACTATGAGTTGTTCTCTACCATAGATGACATTGTGCTGACCATCCTTATCTGTGAAGTTCTTCTTGGCTGGTTAAATGGCTTCTGGATTTTCTGGAAGGTGAGGTCCTGGGCCCTCCTTGCCATCACCCCTACTCCTCCTTAGGGACTTCACCCCACCCAGGCCCCACCTCTGTGCTCCTGGACCTGCAAACTGAGG